GCGACAGGGGCCTCGAAGGTCCCAAGATCGTGCGGTGACGGACCGTGCGGTGAGGTTTTGGGGGATTTCGAGGTCACCGCACAGTCTGTTACCGCACCGTTTCGGGACTCCAAATCAATCAAGCGTAGATGCCCCCCCATGGGGCTCATTCCTCCCTTGTCCTTCCCACGAAGACTTTCTGGTAGTTGCCCCCTTTAGGGCGACGCGATCTATACATATCCACTGCTCCTTGCCAGGCCCATCCTGGGCCCAGGATCTGTGTATACGCCCTGCTTGCCCAAGCCAGGAGGGCGTAGGCACAGCTCCTAGGCCCGGGATGGGCCTGGCCAGGAGCATTGGATATGTACCCAGACATGCGACGTCCTGATGTTTTTCTGGACGGCGTCCCCGGAAGTCTCGACCAGTTCCCCAGGACCGGCTTTTCGTCCCGAGTCGTTTTTCGACGGCCCCGGGGCCCGGCGCAGGCCCCCCGGTGCCGAAAATGGCGAACAACCGCCCGCCCTGATTTTTTGGTACACGACGCGATCATGTCTGGGTGGAGATCTCGACGTCCTGCCCGAGGCATGCTTCGCGCAGCCCACGCCGCGCCCTCTGCTCGGCGCCCCCCCCCTCCTAGGCCGCCGCGGCGCCCACCGAGGCCGTCCCGCGCAGCCCCTCTCTGCGCTCCTCGCCGCGTGCCGCCGCCGCAGCCGCGTCGTCGCCGGCGACGACGACGGCGGCGTCGGGGCCTATAGGAGACGGGGGTCAGTGCACACGTGGGGGTCCGCCAGGGCACCGGATCCTGCAGGATCCTGCGGAGGCCCCCTCTGGTCGACCCGGGTTAGCGAGCCGCTCGTGGCCGCCGTCGTCGTGGCCGCCGTCGTCGCGGCCGCCGTCGTCGCGGCCGCCGCCGTCGGCGCCGTCGCCGGCGCCGTCGCCTGTCCACGTCCTGGGAATTGGGGGATGGCGAGGGTGGGAGGCCGGGGGGGGGGGGCTCTGGGTTGTGCCGTCTCGGGCCCCTGAGGGTCGTCGGGAATGGGCGCCGGGCTGGGAAGCACCCCAGGGATCTAGGCCTCCCAGACGGGGAATCAGAGTTGATCTTGGCCTCGCTCGGACGTGTGCACCTTTTTTCCGGCAAGGGCCGTCAAGGAGCATTTTTGTTCGTTTTGCGAAACAGTACAACCCCCCATCCATCCTACTCCCATCTCCTCCCTCTCCTCTGGATGGGAGGGTTCGGTAGTAGATCATAGGAGCCTTGTACACACTCGTAATTCCGTCGATCAGCGTCTGGTAATCGATGGGTCAGCCCCGATTTGGCGTCGGTTCGCGTCGCTTAGGCGTCGACTAGGCGTCAATCAGCGTCGACTCGCAAGAGCCAACAAGATGGGACGGTGGAACCCCATGCCAAGAAACATCGAGCCTGCCTCTGGGTTTCCCTGGGCTTCTTGGGTCGGTTGAAGGTTTCTTGTGGTCGATCTCCTATTCGGAAATTGGAGCATCTACATGACCAGTGGCGGCAGGTTCTCAATCTCAGGACTTTGTGAGGGTTGGGGCGACGTCGGGGTGAGATGGTGTTCACTTCTAGTTGCCGCTTCCCCAGGGGAGCGACGCAACATGTATACACCAGGATCCCTTATACATCAGGATCCGCTCTCCTGTGCGAAGGTCGGTGTGGGTCCAGAACAAAAAGCGTCGGTGTATAGAGTTCGGCTTCTTACATACTGAATGGGATTCTCCCTTGAGTTCGGATGCAACTCCTGGGATGTCAAATTCTGATGTTGCCCTGGTCCGAATCTGGCTTGATCCCGTCAATTCCGCTCAATCCGGCTCAATCCCGCTCAATCCGAGGCCCCTTCCGGCGTAGCAGCCCACCAATGGGGCGCAAGCCTCCTTAATCTCTCTTGCGAAGAACTCCAAGCAGTTGCCTCCTAACGTGAATTGCAACCGACAGTGGGTGGTCCGAGGCGCCAGGCAGCCCGCGCGGCGGCACGCGCCGCCCCCCCCCCCGCGAGGAGCTGGAGCGCCTGCGCCGGGAGAACCGCCTGCTCAGCGAGCGGCTGCATGCCGCCGACGAGCTGAACCAGACCAGGCCTGAGGAGGAGGAGGAGGAGGCGGAGGAGGAGGGGGAGCGGGAGGAGGAGGGAGATGGGAGAGGAGGAGGGGGAGGAGGAGGAGGAGGGGGATGGAGGAGGAGGAGGAGGAGGAGGAGGAGGTGGAGGAGGAGGACCCAGCCCCTCCCGGCTCGGGCCCTGGCCCTTTGGCACTCTCGCCATGTGGGAAGCGGGTCCTCAGTTGAAGCGGGTCCTGAGGTTTGCGTCGCCGCGTTCGGGCCCTTTGGGCCCCCCCCACGGGCCCCGGGGCCGTCTGGAAACGACTCTCGGGCCGGACGAAAGGGCCCGGGGGGATTGGGAAAGGGGGGGTTACGAAATTTGCTGCATGCAGCTGGTTTCGGCCTCACCGAGGGGCCTATTCCTCGATACATAGCCGCCTCCGGCGCCGGGAGGCGCCAGGAAACTCAGCTACGTGAGCTGATTCTCAAACCCCCCCTTTGCTATCCCCCCCTTTCGCTCGACCCGAGACTCAGGAGCAAGAACGCGCCCGGGGGGAAGGCCCCAGGGTCCAGCACCCGTTTCGCTTCGCTCAGGATCCGTTTCCCCCATGCTACAGGCCCTTGGCCCAGAGTGCCCTTCGCCCAAGGTCGGGGGCGGCCAAGAGGGGGGTGATGACATGGGGGGTGGGGGGGGGGGCCCAGCATGGCCGGGGCAATGGTCTCTCCCCCGATGTTATGGCGCCTTATCTTATTTCCATGCGCCCCCTAGGCCCCCCCCCCCCGGGGGCCGCGCACGTGCCCCGGGCCATGATTTCCGCAGCCCCCTCCCCTGGACGCACCACTCATTGCACGCCCCCGCAAAGGGAGGGTGTGGTCACGCCGGGGCGTGGGTCATGATCTGCGATATCGGGGCTTGGGGCTCGGGGAACACCATGTGGCCCTCGTCTGCCGCCTCGAGGCGCGGCGGAGAACTCTGTCGAGGTCCTCGCCCGCCCCCCCGGGCGCGCGTTGAAAACCATACCTTCTGCAAGCCACACCCGTCGGAGTCGCCGAAGTGCCCCTGGCCCAAGGTCGAGGCCTCCCAGATATGGTCAGAGTAGATGGGGTCGGGGGATCGCTCCGCATCGCCGCTGCATCGGCGATGTGGCGCGAGGGGGAGCTCGAATTTCTCCACGGCGATGTCGCCGATGCGTCGTCGATGTGTCGCCGATGCATCGGCGATGGATCGGCGATGGCGCGATTCTCCGACCCATGTGCCCCAGGCCCATTTGGGAGGGCCCTGGTGCCTCGGGGGCCCCCAAGCAGCGCGGTGACCACACCGTGTGTTGAGCTGGTGGGGACTCGGGGTTACCGCACGGTTTTGGGACGGGCCGCTCTCCGAAGACGCCCATGGGGATCGGGGCCTCCGAGGTCCAAACTGGTGGGGCCTCGGACTGCGCGGTGAAGTATTTGGGGAGTTCGAGGTCACAGTGCGGTCTGTCACCGCACCGTTGAGGACCCCAGTTTTTGGACCAAGGTTCGGTGCGATCGGAAGAACCGCATGCCCCAGATAATAAGCAGCCCCCACCATTACGACCTGAGTGTTGGTTATCTTCGTCCGATTCAGTTTTGGTCGGCGGTGGTGCCGAACTTCATTCTCACTGGGGGAAGTACGAACCGAATATTGATTTTTTACCGCATCATCATCAGCATCATCAGCATTATCTTCACTACCATCGAGTACTATTGTTACTACCGCCACTACTTCTATTACTACTACACTACGACTACTACTACTACTACTACCACTACTACTACTCCTACTACTACTGTTACTACTACTACTACTACTACTACTACTGCTACTACTACGACTACTACTATAACTACGACTCGTACCACCTACGACGACGACGACTACTACCCTTACTGCTAGCAGTACTACTACTACTACTACTACTACTACTACTACTACTACTACTATTACTACTGCTACTACGACTACTACTACTACTACTACTACTACTACTACTACTACTACTAATATTACTACTACTACTATTACTACTACTACTACTACTACTACTACGACGGTGATTGCTATTATACTTACGACTTCTATTCTTACGACTTCGATTACGGTTACGACTACGATTTTTAACAACACCAATTATTACCAGTATTACCATTACTACTACTTCTACGACTACCAATCCTACTACTACTACTACTACTACTACTACTACTACTACGGCTGCTACTGCTACTCCTATTCCTACTACTACGACTGGTACGACTACTACTACTATTACTACCACTACGACTATTACTATTTTTACTAGTATGTTTAATATTTCTTCTACTATACTACTACTACTACTACTACTACTACTACTGCCACGACTACTACTACTACTACTACTACTACTACTACTACTACTACTACTGCTAGTACTACTACTATGACTACTACTACTACTACCATGCGTACGACTGCTACTGTCACCCTTACGACTACTACTACTGCTGGTGGTATTAGAATGTTTTTTCACCACTAACACTAACACTACAACTCCTATTGCTACTACTACTACTACTACTACTACTACTACTACTACTACGGCCCCTACTACTACTACTACTACTACTACTATTACTACTACTACTACTACTACTACGATTACTACTACTACTACTACTACCACTACCACTACTACTACTACTACTACTACTACTACTACTACTACTACTACTCCTATTATTATTACTATTAGTATGATTACTACCACCACGACCATTGTCATCACACGACGACTACTACTACTATTACTACTACTACTACTACTACTACTACTACGACTGCTACTACATCTTCTACTTCTACTACTACTTCTACTACTGTTACTACAACTTTCATTTATACTTTACTACCATTATTACTAAAGGACTACTACTATTACTACTACTCGTACTACTACTTCTACTTCTTCTA